CCTCCCGGGCAGGGAGACCAGGGGCCCACACCACCCTCCATCCCCCGCCAGCAGTATCACTCACCCGCTTCCCTCTTCCATGAAGCCGCCCCAACTTATCGCTGGGGCTCACTCTTCACTGCACACAGTCCTCTTTGTAAATGCAGATCTGGCCCTGACCCTCTCCTGCTTAAAACCCTCCTGCGGCTTCCCACTGCCCCTGGGGTCAATCTTTCCCTGTGGCCCCTCAATCTTCCCTTGAAAATCGAGGACACGCTCCTCTTCTCCAGAAATGCTGTGCCTCTGGCTGCGGTGACCCCACCAAACTGGGCTGGGGCCGCTGGCATTCCTGACCCACCCTCTGGGTCCCATAAGCCCCGAGAGTGAAGGTGGGCTCTAACCAGCTAGGGTGTCCAGCACCCAACATGAGGGCTGTCCAGGGTGCACACTCACAGACAAAGCCATCAGGGACCTCCTCACAGACGGCAGGCGGGAGGCAGGGCTGGCCAGGGCACCACAGCTGCTGGGCACACGTGGGCCCTGTGAAGTTGGCAGGGCAGGCGCAGTGGAAGTCGTTCCAGGTGACAAGGCAAGTCCCCCCATTGAAACAGGGGTCAGGCTGTGAGAGAGGGCAAGGTTGGCTTGGGCTGGCGGTCAGCCTTACTCCACCGCACTGCAGTGGCTCCTCACTGAGCAGCCACCACAGACCCACTGCACCCCACAGGCAAGTCCAGAGGCTGTCACTGTCACTCCCATTCTACAGACGGGAACTGAGGGTCAGAGAGGCAAAGTTGCTTGCCTGAGGCACCCAGCCTGTAAAGAGAGGCACCAAGCTGGGCTCAGTGGCTCAGCCTGTAATCCTGCGCTTTGGGAGGCTGAGGTGAGTGGATTGCCTGAGCCTGCGGGTTCAAGACCCGCCTGGGCAACTTGGCAAGCCCTCATCTCCACAATAAATCAAAAATTAGCCGGGCTTGGTAGCACGTGACTATAGTTCCAGCTACTTGGAAGGCTGAGGCAGAAGGATCGCCGGAGCCCAGCAGGTCGAGGCTGCGGTGGCTGGGAGTGTGCCACTGCACTCCAGTCTGGGCGACGGAGTGAGACTCCAACTCAAAAAAAAAAGGAGCCAGAGTTCATGTCCAGGCTGTTCCAATTCCAGGGCTAGTGGACTCTGGTTCGTGATCTCATGGGTGTCCCTGCCCCGCACATAGCTCCTGCAGAAAGGCTCAGGCAGCCCTTCGTCTCGGTCAGGGAGTCTCAGATGAGGACTGAGTGGGGGAGACTTGGAGCCACCAGAGGGTGAAGAGCTGGGCTGGAGGGGAGGGGAATGCCAATCCTGCTCAGCCACTCTAGCAGTGGGGCCTCAGACAGGTCCCTTCACCTCCTGAGCCTCAACTGCAAAAGACACGCTAACCCCCATGGTGCAGGATAGGTCCTGGGAAAAGGACCCGCTCCGGGGCACTCACACTGCACATGTCCTCAGAGATGCAGCCCACGGTGAGGTTCTGGGACTGCCCGCCACCAAGTTCGCTGGGCTGGCTCGAGTTCTCCGGTGGCAGCGGAAAGAAGGGGAGGTGGCGGCCGTTGAGTCGCAGGTCCTGGAGGCAGCCCCGGAAGGGCCCACCCCAGGACTGGCTGTCACCAGGGGGCAGCCTCCCACCCACATGGACCTGCTGCCCCAGGTCCTGCAGTTGGTCAGGCCCGAAGCTGAGTGTCACCAAGTGGCGGAGCCCATCATCCCAGCGCCCAGGCAGTGCCACAGCAGGACTGCCCGGCGTCTCAGCCCAGATCTGACCCTCGCTCAGGAATACTGTCAGGCCAACTGCTGAGTCATTGGCAAATTGGAGCAGCAGGCCAGAGGGCGCCCGGGTGCGGAGGAGGAAGGACACAGTGAGGTTGGGGCCTGGCAACTCTTGGAGCAGAAAGAAGGCAGAGCTCAGGGTGCCCCCCAGGCCAAAGGTGGCAGCAGGAATCTCTGCAGGGAGAGAAGGTGCCAGGGGTGAGGCCTGCAAGCTGGGGAGCCCATATTTCAGGTGCTGCCTCCCACCTGGTTCATGCCTCACCATCAGCGCACGTGGGGCCACTGTGCGGCCTGGGGCAGTCACAACGGAAGTGAGTCCACAAGTCCACACAGGCCCCTCCGTGGGCGCAGGGCAGAGGGTGGCACTGCTCATGGCGCTTGCAGCCTGGGAGGACGTTCTCACCAAGAGACTCAGGCAGCAGGAGGTGTCCGTCCACATGCACATCCTGGAGGCAGCCTGCAAAGGCCATGCCACCCAGCTGGGCGGATAAAGGCCCAGCAGTCAGTGGGGTCATTGAGACCGTGGGAGCCAGGGCCACAGAACCAGAGGCCACACAGAGCCGAGTTGGGCAGCCCTCATGCCAGAGCCGTAGCTCCAGCATCCCTAGGTGGAGCACCACCTCCGCCTGGTGCCAGCGGCCATCGTTCAGGGCCAGGTCCGGCAGTCTCAGGACAAGTGCAGTAGTGCCGTGGCTCCAGAGTGTGACCTGAAGTGTGGCCGTCACCAGTGTCAGCTCCAATCTGTCCTGGGTGCCATTACGAGTGGCCAAGGCCCCAGAGGGCAGTGTGGTACGAAACCTCAGTGCCAGACCCAGGGGGCCACCAGCCGGCACCGATGCCCACACAGGGCTCCCAGCCACCACAGAGAAGGTGGTATTCTGACCACAAAGAGGTCCGTGGGTACCAGGTGGGCAGAGGCAGGTATAACTGTGGACCCCAGACTCGAAGACAGGGATGCAAGTGGCAGCCAGTGAACATGTGTGGCCCTGGCAGCCAGTGAGCTGCACAGAACAGTCAGGCCCGCCCCAGGCCTCTGGGCACCGACAGATGTAGCCTGCCACAGTGTCATTGCAGGTTCCGCCATGGAGACAGGGATCCGACAGGCATTCATCCACATCTTCCTGACATGTCAGGCCTTCAGGAGAGACCAGGTCAAGGCTCAATAGTGTCCGTGGCCAGAACCAGACTTGATTTATAATGGGGACCTCAATTTCTACCAACCAAGCCAGTTTCCAAAGGCTGCCTCGTGGTCCCCTGAAGTCCCCCACAGTTCAGAGTCCAAGATGCCCCTTCCCTTTCCATGTCTGGGTAGTCTCCATGCCCTGTGGATTTGATCTCCAAAACACTCTCCAACCCCCCTCCCCTTTCCCCCCATCCTACATCTCCTGCCTCACCTGCTTTCTGGGCCACAATCCAGCATCCCCCAGTTTGCCTGCCCAGCTCCCAACCACCTTCACCCATAACCAGTGATCATCTGGCCAGGTTCTTCTGCTGCTCAGGGTCAAATCACTCACCCTGACATCCAAGACCCCTTACAAACCTACTTCCTAGAGACCTTGAACTGCCCATTCCTCCAAGTCTTTCCTGGAAAGTCCTGTCTCTGGGGCTTTGCTCATACTATTACCCCCGCTTGGAATGCCTCATTCTCCCTTACCCTGCCTTTCAAACTCCTACTCATTCCGTAAAGTCCAAACTCAAAGGTCCCAAAGGCTATGCCTAACTTCCAACCCCACTCTGCACTCCCAGGCACAGTTCCCAGAACCTTGTGTTGAAAGTGTCTGTTTACTTAGCTAGGATCTCCTTCAGGAACTTGAATGTGCCCTTGGTCCCAGCACAGTGATGAAGTGGAGGAGCAAGTGTGTGCATATGGGCTACTGCGACTGGCTCCCAGGCTCTAGCCCCTCAGCCCTCTGCCCCAGGACCCCCACACTGGCTTAAAGGGGCCATCTCATCCTCCCTCAAGAGCACTTGCCAGGTGCTCCGGCCCCAGCTGAGTCAAGAGGCCATAGCCCCATCCCAGCTCCTCGAGAGCCTCCACAAAACAGGCCAGCTCCCATGTCCCAGCTAGAGGAACCCAAACCCAGATTGTGGCCCAGAAAGCAGGTGAGGCAGGAGATGTAGGATGGGGGGAAAGGGGAGGGGGGTTGGAGAGTGTTTTGGAGATCAAATCCACAGGGCATGGAGAGGGAAGGGGCATCTTGGACTCTGGACTGCAGGGGACTTCAGGGGACCATGAGGCAGCCTTTGGAAACTGGCTGGGTTGGTAGAAATTGAGGTCCCCCATTATACGAGCCACCAGGATCTGAGGCCCGACTTCAGGCAGCCCACAGACACCACAGCCTCCTTCGGGAACCACTAGCCAACCAGCCCCAGCATCCTCCTGTCTGAGGCCCCCTTCCTAGTCCTCCATACCTGCCAGGAGCCACAGGTGTCCCAGGAAAATCCACAGAGCCCGCAGTCCCATCACAACCCCCTACAGATGGGCTTAGAGGGGTGGATGGGTGCCGAGGCTGGGGAGCAGAGCTCCCCGCCTGGCCTGGCTGCCTCCTTCAGAGCTGGCTCAGGAATGCCAGGCCCTGGCCTCGCCCACGCCCAGCAGGGCCAGAGGGAGGATGGGCAGGAGCCCGGCCCTGACCTCATAGATCTGCCCTCCCTGTCGCCCATCAGCTGAGCTCAACTGGGATAAGGAACGGTTCCGCTGCGGCTGGTGAACCTGGGGGATGATATCTCCTCTCTAAGCCTCTGTGGCCTCATCTGTAAGATGGGAGCTTTAAACTCCTACCTCATGGGGCAGTGGCAAAGAAGAAACAAAATGCAGAGTAAATGCTCTTCTGGGACCAGGCGTGTTGTGTGGGCCCACTGTGTGCCAGGCACCTACAAGGCCACTCCTCCTGGTTCAGGACCCCCAGGGGTGCCGGTCAACCAGCAGTGGGGAAGCTGAGCTCCAGTATCTTTAGTTGAGTGAGGGTGGGAGCAAGAGAGGTGATTACCCCTCCTTCCCCCAGCAGAGGAGCCTGTGCCCAGGAACCTGCCAGGGAGAGGAGGCAGCCTGCTGGAGCAGGAATGTGGGCGGGAGTGGGGGAGGTATCGCCGGCATTCCAGAGGGGGAGGGACCCTTGGGAGTGTGTGTGTGCTGATCCTCCATCCTCCAGCTCACCGGCTCACCAGAGTCCTGTGTCTGTGTATCTGCATGGACCCAAGGCAGGGTGAGACTTTCTACAAGCCCAGTCTCCTGCCCACCGGCTCCAGCTCCCAACAGTCAGGCTCCTCCTTCTACAGATGCCACCCCCCCACCCTCTGCACCGCCCCCCTTTCCTCCTCTGTCCTGGCTGAGCACCCTCCCTCCTCCCTGCTGGCCCCACAGCCTGGGCCCAGGCTGGTTGTGAGTTGCCAGGGCTCTCCTTGCCCATAGCTCCACATGTTTCCCCAGACAATCTCGGTCCTCCGTGCCCCCCAGCCCAGCTGCCAGGACTACGCTCCAGACCCCAGCCTCTGGCTCCCACCCAGGCCCCTCTCCTAGGCGGCAGACCCTGCACCACCAGCCCCAACCCTGGCTGCTCCCCACGGGTGCTCCAGGAAAACTCGGATCCCATATGTTCAAAGCTGAACTCATGGTCCACACACGTCCCCCAGGGAAGAAACTCAGCATCATCCCTGACACCTCCCATTCATAAATAAACACCTAGAGTGTCCCTCCTAAATATTTCTCAAACTCATGGGTCCCCTCCTCTCCCACCTCCAAAAAAAGTCCCAGTCCAGCTCCCCTCAGCTGTCGCCTGGGCCACCACACCCACCTTGTCCTTCTCAATCCACACCTCTCTCCCCAGGCCACCAATTCTGACCCGCCCCCCCCCCAGGCACCTGCATAGCCATCCGGGCAGTGACACTGGAACCCACTGGGCAGGTCCTGGCAACGGCCTCTGTTGAGGCACGGCCGTGAGGCACACTCGTCCATGTCCACGCTGCAGTCGTCTCCTGCAAGAGGCCCATGTGGATCCCACCCGCAGCCCCAGAGCCAGACGGCAGCTGAAGGGGTCCGCTTAGTGGCTAGGGAAACCGAGGCCCAGCGACAGACGTCGATTCAGGCGGGGTGGCACAGGCTCCCAGAGCTTGGCGGGCCCTTCCCCGGCAGGGGGCTCACCCGCAAAGCCGGGAGGGCAGCGGCACAGGAAGCCCGCGGCGTCGCGGAAGCTGAAGTCGCCGGGGAAGGCGGCCTGGGCGCCCCCGTAGAGGGCCGGGTCGGAGCGCTGCAGGCACCGGCCCCCGTGCAGGCAGGGGCCGGTGGCGCACTCGTCCTCGTCCACCTCGCACCGCTCGCCGCTGTAGCCTGGGGGCGCACACACGCGGGCATCGGGTCATTCGGGGCCGTCGGCAGCGCCCTTCAGGGTCACCGGGCCAGCCCGGAGCCAGACAGGGACGGCGGCCCGCAATGCAGCCACCGACCGTGCGGGAGGGACGCGCTGAGGGCAAGAAGGACCCGGGCAACCTTGGCGGCTGCAGGGTGTCACTGGTTTGCTAGTACTACGGGCCCTCCGCGGTCTAGAGCTGTCCAGGGGCGTTCCCCCTCGCGCTCCCCACAGCAACCCTTGGGGCAGGCGCTGCGGTCAGCCCTGTTTTGCAGATCAG